AAGTTTGGTATTTGACCATGTGGGTAGTACACCAAATGAAGCTCGGATTTTAGGATTACTTATTACTTTTTCAAATTCAGTAACCAATTTTTAATCCTCTTTTAATTTTGTATATTTAATTAAATCATGAATTTTACATGTAAGTTCATGCTAAATTGGAAGTGTAAAATTAAACTAATCTTTTTTTTTTAGATAAAAAACTGTATTATGTTCAAAACTTAGTTAATACATATATATGTGTTAGTTTGCAATATGCAACAATAAAAAAAAATACTAAATAATTTAATGTTCGTTATATATACCATAAATCAATTTAATATATAGATAATATTTTGTTAAGCAAAAAATAAAATGTTCATAAAAAATATTAAAGGTAAAAATACTAAAAATACAAATATATTAAAGATTTATAACAATATCTGATTATGAATATGTCAACTTTAACTAAGTTATAAAAAAAAATTTATTTATATTACCTTAAAGAAAAAATAATCATATTTTAAAATGATCGAAATGAGGACGTTAAACTTACCAAAATATATTAGGAATAAATACTTTATTTGATTTCATAGAACAAAGAAATTAACTCATTATATGAGAATGACTAATCGTAAGAAAATATATATAGAAGAAAAATAAATTTATTCAATAACTGTATAATTTTATTTTAAAATGTTGTTCATCAACAAAAATAGATTATAAGAAATTAAAAAAAGTAGGTGCGTTGTGTTTTATTCTGATAAATTTTTGGTGAAATAATTAGGAGACGTGCAGCCAAAAAAACTTTGACCAAATTCTTTTTCCAATTTCGGTCAAGGTTAAATTGTAAAGGTTACTTAGCTTCTTAGAGAATCTTTTTTCTGTATGACATATTGAAAGAAAATTACTAATTTATGTTTATGGTGATTTTGACATTCATAATGTTACAAATATTTATTCAAACATAAGAAATAAATTTTAATTTTTGAAAATTAACAAGCAGGCGAAAAACTCAAACTTCATTATAATTTATCCAAAAAGTAAATGAAGAGTAAAAAATTATTCAGAAACTAGTTCGGTAAGAATTTTCTTTTACCATGTAACATAAAAACAGAAAATTTCCATAAATATATATGATGTTTTATCTATTTAAAATAAAATAAAATTTACCTACCGACCGCTCAATTTAATTAACTGTTAAATTTAACATTGATATCAAATTTACTTACAATACATTTATACTCAATAAAAAATTATAATAATGTATTTAATAATTTTCAAACTATAACAGATATCTAATTAAATATATTTTAAAAATGAAATGAAGAGCCAAAAGTCACATATAAGAAAATATGAGTTTTTTTTTTTTAAAAGTAAAAGATGGGACATAAATTTTTAAAAATATTTTTATTTAGTTTAACTAAATAAAATTTTTATTTATTTATTAGTATTAGCTGTTTTAGATATTTAATATTAATTAAAAAATTTGTAATTTAAATAAATTATTAATTAGTGTTGTGGTAATTTTGTAATTAGCTAAAGAGAATTCCAATAAGAAAGAAAGAAGAGCCACGTGGCAACTGTCAGATCTAACGGTCAAAGTTAGGGAAAGAAGAATGCTACCGCCCGTGACTCTATCGGGATGACCCGCAGCAAAGTTTAACGACGTCTTCTGAAATCAGAACCATTAACAAAAATTATCTACTTACTTATAATTCAAAATTAACCAAACGCCCCCTTCCCCCTCCTAGCCCCTATATGGAAACCCACCCGTTTTTCCTCCCTCCCATCCCCTGCCTTCTCCCGGATCATTTCACGACATTTATCATTTATTTACCTCCAAAAGAAAAACATAAATTAATTATTAAAAGAAAATAAATTAACACCTCACTTCACTTCGTGATATTTATATCCAAACAAACAGATACTTCTTCTCCCCAACATTCAACAGCTAGAAACCACAACCAAAAACCTCCGTTCCCTCTCCTTTTTCTCACACGGATTTATCGTCGCCTTCCGGCCACTCATCTGATCAGTATTCCTGCGATAATAAGGGATCGGTTTCCACCTAATCGACGGAGATGGGGAGAGAATGAGGAACAACCGACGGCGATCATCGCGCCGATCATCATGTCCATCTCGTGCTCCGATTGCTTCACGGACCTACTATGTGCTGAGGACTCCGGCGTTTTCTCCGACGAGTCGCCCGGATGCTCGTCGGAGATCGACTCTTCGGCGTCTAGTGAGGAGTCTATTGCCGGATTCATTGAGGACGAGAGACATTTCGTCCCCGGCTTCGATTACCTCTCCAGGTTTCAATCTCAGTCTCTTGACGCTTCCGCTCGAGAAGAATCCGTTGCATGGATTCTCAAGGTAAAAGATTCGCTTCCTGATTGAAAAACTTTTTTATCACGGAATCAGACTTCGAGTTCGCCGATATTTGCGATTTTGCCACCCGCGCACCAATATCATTGAATATATGACCTGTACAGTGTATTCGTTGATGCTAAAATGCGCAGGTTGTGACTATCGTCCTTTAAAAAAATGAAAAAGAGGAAAAGAGATCTGATTCGATGTGATTGTAAATGCGTGTTTTAGCATCTTTAGTGAAGTATATTTATGAAAGTGAATAATGAATTGGTGGCGCACCGATGGATTCCTTTGATGAGTTAGATGTGTACTATATTTGTTTTGTAGGTGCAAGCATACTATAACTTCCAGCCGTTGACGGCGTATCTCTCCGTCAACTACATGGATCGGTTTCTGTACTCACGTCCGTTGCCGGTAAGCTTATCGTCAACGTTAAGCTGATGGGAAAATAGATTAGCTGGATAATTATATTCTCGGGATTGAAGTCATTAATTATTTTTTGACTATCAAGTAACTATATTTTGACTTTTTAAATTAGTATGAAAATGATTTGAGTACTTCAAATTGCTGAAAGAAAATTTAGGATTTTGTTTCAATCTCTCTTGGCACAGTTTGTTTATTAAAATTTTTAAGTTGAGTTTAAAAAATTAAAAATAATCATTTCATTCTTTTATTTTTTATAATAAATTTATTTAAATACTCTACATTCATTCTAAATAATTAACAACATGTATAATAATATCAATAATATATACATTTTTCTTTTTATTATCGACACTTTACTCAAACGTGTCTAATTATTTATTTTCAAATAAGTCGAAATATTAGAGATTTCTTTAAATATTAAACACTATAAATACAGTTATTGCTTTTGATTTGATAAAAAAAAAAAAGAACAAAAATTAAAGCGATCCTAATCTGTCATCACAGTGGATCAGAGTTAGCAAGTGGCTCCATTCCTTCTAAGCTGAATGGTTTAAATGGGAGTGGCATTGGACCTAGAAAGGCCGTTGGTTAGTACTTTAAACAGTTAAATAGTTGGTGGGTTTGTACTGTAGAAGAGTACTTTGTAGGAGTACCGTTGTTCTTGGATAGTGTATGTCAAGGGAACACAATCAAACAAGACACCGACCATACCAAAACCAAGTAGAATTTGTTACAAGTGTCTCAGTGTTAGCTATAGTTTTTAAGTTTATTTATTTTTATTTTATTACACCTTTTCATAGTGGTAGCAATAGTATATATATTTTTACACATAAAATACTTTTCTTTCATTAGAAACTTTAATTATTATTTTGTCACGCGGATAATACATCATCATTTCAACATTATAGTCATTGGCATCATCATCTCTAACAATGTGATTTTGTTTCCTTTAAATTGGCTTTTGCTGCGCAGCAAACGAGTGGTTGGCCATTGCAACTTTTATCTGTAGCTTGCTTGTCATTAGCTGCCAAGATGGAGGAACCCCTGGTTCCTCCTCTAGTGGATCTCCAGGTATGTATATAATTATCTTTCCAATTATTGAGCCTTTTGCTGTTTCAATAATTAACTAATATTTTAATTCTGCTAAAATAGTTATTTATTTAAAACACCACATATTACATGTAGGTTGAAGGGGCCAAATACATTTTTGAACCCAAGACAATCCGTAGAATGGAACTCCTAGTGCTTAGCGTTCTGGATTGGAGGCTACGATCCGTGACGCCATTCTGCTTTCTCGGTTTCTTTGCTTGCAAGATCGATTCCACCGGAACTTTTACTGGGTTACTAATTTCACGAGCAACGGAAATTATTCTATCCAATATGCAAGGTAATGCGCCAGTAAGGATACATGCATATTCATGTATGTGTACAGATATATATATATACACACATGTATACGAAGAACATCACATCATTTTGTGTCACCTAAACGGCGGAAACTTTTAACAAGCTGAAGTAAAGTCAAAATCCTATTTTCTTCTCCTAATCATTTTGGGTAATTGATGTTAACAGGTACCAGTTTTCTAGAATACTGGCCGTCAAGTATTGCTGCTTCGTCAATTCTTTGCGCAGCAAATGGAATTCCAAATTTGTCACTCGCCAACCCCGAGCTCGCCGAATCATGGTGTGATGGACTGAGCAAAGTAAGCATGCGATTATCATTTCGAATAACTGTGTCCCTTTAGCTAAAGAATCGTTGCCAAATTTGGAGAGCATATCTTTTTTTTTTTTTTTGTAGGAGAAGATCATCAGCTGCTATCGCTTAATGCAAGCGCTTGTGCTTGAGAGTAGCCTCAGTAAACAACCAAAAGTGTTACCACAGCTTCGGGTAACAATTAGGGCCAGAATTAAATCAAGCGATTCATCATCATCCTCATCTTTTTCACCATCTTATAAAAGGAGAAAGTTAAATAATTGCTTATGGACAGATGACGACAATGGAAACTCCGAGTAGGAGGAATAAAAAACAGAAGAGGGAAAGAAGAATCAAGAAAAGATTAAAAAAAAAAAAAAGAAAAGAAAGAGAGAAAGAAACTGTGGGCCAAGTTGTCTAGAAACCTCAATATTTTTTAGGAGGGTTTTGAGCGTAAAAATTGACTGGAGTGGTGAATGTAGATTATCTAGTATATATAGACATATATATACGTATGAGGGTTTAGGTGGGGGTGTTGAGAATTTGTTAAATTTTTTTTGTTGGTGGGTGTTGCCATTCCTTGATGGCTCTGCAGATTCCCAAGGGAGTCTGTTACATAAATATTTCCACGGGAAAGAGAGAGAAGTTAAGATGTGTTTATTTACCAATAGTGGTGTGATGGAGCATGAAGGAAGTGGAGTACTGAATTCAAAGGCTATACTGATTATTGTTCAATGAAAGGGGTAGAGAATGGCGGGACCCTCTGAATGGGGGTTTTGGTTTTGGAGGGAAAATTAGAAAAAAACAAAAAAACAAAAAACAAAAAAAAAAAAGAAAAGAAAAGAGAGTGAAATTGGGGTTTGGGCAAATATCAGCGAACTTTGAAAGTTCCGAAGTTTGAGCTGCTCCGGTGAGGTTACATAAATAAGTCAAGCGCTCGGGCTTCTCATCTCATCTAGGGCACCGTCATTTTGCTTCATCTTCTTCTCTTATGTGGCTTACCAGAAGGCGAAATAAGAGGAGAGAGAAAGACAATAACGGGGCTCCATAATCGCTATATTATATTATTGGAGACTTTTCTTGAGTGGATTTGTGTGTACACGTGCTCACTTTCGTGTTGCGTGGCACACACGTGTGTATGCGTGCTTTTTTGGCGGGAGATGCCTATCTTTTTTTTTTCATTTTTCTCCTTCCATGTTTTTTTTTCCCTCTCATGGCCATGCTTGAGACCTTGGCCTAACCTATACTGGACTAAACTCCTTACAGTGTGGTGTTCACGTGTGTGACGGTCGCACACGTTCATACCATTTTTTTTTTTTTTGTTTATCATTTTAATTTTTTTATTTAATTTTGGGAGGAGAAACCTCCACTAGGTCGACGATTCGACCTAACATATACAAAAGGGTCTTTGGGGCCTTTTTCAGGCGTGTTTGTATTGGATTCACCAAATAATATTTAATCAATTTCTAATTATATGTACATATTCTCTTTCCTCTCTGTGCATAGCATGTGCTTGAGTAATTACTAGGGAGCTGCTTAATTTGTAGGTTTCCCATTTGTTTTATTACGTACAATTAAAAACACAGAGAGAGAGAGAGAGAGAGAAGAGCTTTTAAGCGCATGAATGGACTATTGTTGCTCGCACTAAATGAAGAGATAGTAGTAGGTCCCTCTAGCAATAAAAGATGGCTCACTCGTGAATATGACTCCTTAGCTATACATAATTAACAAGTGTTTCTCGTGACCATTGGATCCAATACCATGGCTGCTTCCGCTGCATCTTCCCCTTAGATATCAGACAACTCTGGTTCATATGTTGACCTAACAACACGTTTAATTTAATACGCTTAGCCCTCTCCCCTTCTAAACATCAGATAATGAAAGGTACTTGGTCTTTGGTTTTCCATCATGGGTTCCATATACATAAATACATAATATAAATAATACATCTCTACTTGGGGTTGGGAAAGTAAAGGACCATACTGTTACTATACGGCTTGAATTGGGAATAGTGAGAAGTTAGAGGAAAAAGGAGGCAGCCCTATTAAAAGGAATATCCTTTTTAACATGCAGCCAAGGATATAAATTACAAATAGGAAAAAAAGGAGATCCAGCGATGGAGGGTTTGTCATTTAGCCTTGGATCGCCGACACATAATATGTGGTATATTATTATTATTATTATTATTTCTTCTTGCATGCAGTACCATAACACAATGGGCCTCTCCCCTCAATTTATTTTTTTAGGCAGCGCCACCACGTGTCATACAACCTTATCGTTTGTGGTCTTGACACGTGGTATCAACCACCAAGCATATGCTCCGTCACATCTATATTATTATTAATATTATATATCAGAAATGGACCACTGTAAATAATTTAAGGCATAATAATATTAAAAAGAAGAAGAATCGAAATGAAGAAATTTGGATCTAGAAATTTATATTCCATTTTCCAATATCTCTGTTTGCAGTAGTCTTTGTTTATATACCATTCATCAAGGCCATGCGATAGTTAGGACCACATGATTGGTATTAATTAATTCACGCAACTGGCTAAAGATTTTTTGGCGGGTGACATTGATCTTGATTCGTGGGGAGGAGGCTTGTTTTTTCTTACATTTTTAGCCTTCACATATTTATGACTTTCTTATTAAAATTAAAAATAAACACTGCGGGCCCCACAGACTTACTGTCGATATCCACTTTGGTAATTTTAATGCTTCGGAATCTTCATTTTTATTTTTATTTTTATAAATTACACGTATGTGGGAGTAGTACTCCCCGCCATCTACCTGCTGACACGTGGCGCTTCGCTATCTGCAGCTCGTTGTCTTAGGTTTCGACTTGAAATATTTAAATTATGGCCCCCCTCCCTCATTTGATTGTAAAATAAATTAATCACACTTACGATATATATATATATATAAATAATTATATTATATTTTTATTTTTTATTTAATTGGTTATTTTATATTTATGCAAAAGAAAATTTTGAAGGAGTATTTAATACAGAATTACCAATCAAGAGCACCACTTTTCGCACTAAACTGGTTGCACATTGAACAAGTCATTAAATAAAACCAAAAAAAAAAAAAAAAAGACCAGGTCTAATTGGTTAGGTGATGAATAATATACATACATACATATAAATATAATATCCATAAATAACTACTGACGAATCATGTGTATATATAGTCTTCCATATATATATATATTATGTAAAAGCAGCCAACCCCGTGGACGATGAGTGATATTAATCTAAAAGCTTTGTTTTCGTTAAAAGCTCTCAACGAGACAGAGAAAAGGACAAACCGTGTAAAGCAAATGGCCACATGTATCATCTACAACTAAATTAAATCGTCAACATACTTATAATATATGTCGATTTGTAATATTTATAGAATACCTCTATTAACACATGCATGTTGTGTATATATATATATATATATATATATATATATAATGCTACAGACATTTATGTAAATATATGTATGGATATATGCTAAGAATATTTTTCTTTTAATTTTATTATCATGTGTATTTTTTATTTGATAAACAAGTATAAATATATTTGAGAATAAAAGAATTAATTAGTGGGAAAATGTGGAGCCTGATGGTGACATACAAAAAGAAAAACCAATATGAATTTGGATTTTGTCAGCAATACATATGAGAGGGTTACCCACCCACCATTATTTCCCATCATGAGAAACTCAAATAAATATCTTCTCTCTAACTTTACCACATCAGAGTTTGTGTTCCTCATGATGAGTAAATTTTTCTTCACTACTTATCATAATTCACCTATAATACCATCATTATATAATATATACATATATAAACAACACTACTACCTATCGCATATATATATATATATATATATGTAATAATATAAATTGAATTGATCATCAAATTATAATGCTTTGTTAAAAAGTCCAAAAAATGTTAATTATAACTTAAGAATATATAGATAGCTCCGTTATGTCGTAATCACTTGAATGATAAGCTAATATATACATATATAAACAACACTACTACCTATCGCATATTTATATATATATATATATGTAATAATATAAATTGAATTGATCATCAAATTATAATGCTTTGTTAAAAAGTCCAAAAATATTAATTATAACTTAAGAATATAGATAGCTCCATTATGTCGTAATCACTTGAATGATAAGCTAACATGTGTAACTCAAAACACCCAATGACCAATTACATGCAAAATAGTAATAAGCAATTAATTAATCTGAGTTAGTAAAAGATTATACCATGATGGTTATCATGATGATCTATATAATAGGCATGCAGGGCCCATGATACACCTTATCTTGCACTTGGGATTTATAGATGTATATATATATATATATATATATATATATATAGAGAGAGAGAGAGAGAGAGAGAGA